CGCGCATACAAGCGCGTCCAAATAAGAACGCCTTCCTAAGGGCTTCTCACCTCCCCACCTCTTTGGCCAACGCAGCAGGGGGCCGTTGTAGGCGACATTCCCTCGGGAATTGAAACACACTGATAGAAAACCACTTGAACTCGCTCCACAATCCTATTCAAGCAGCTACCACCACTGTCCCACACACTCACTCAGGTCTGGGTGGACATAGTCGACACTAGCCCTGTCTTCGCCAGTGGCCACTGCCGCCTGAGACAACAACAGAGAGTTCTGTACACAATAAAATTTCTCTCACATGTGCCCTTCTGCTTTTTAAATTCCAACCTGGGATTTGGCCTGATGATTGTAGTGATTCGCGCACAAACACTACTTAGACCGCTACAGCATCTAGACGAACACAACTCCACACATAACGCTTCTTGTGGGTGTTTTTTAATTGAACGTAAAACACGCACATACCATCTGTCTGAATCCTGGTCAGGTTAGAGGGCACATATTATCGAAATCATTGCCTAATTGTCAATGATTAATATGAAAAATTACTCTTTAGAGGGAGCTACCTTATGCTTGTTGTAAGTACTCATAAGTTCTAGCTTTCCATCGACTACCTAGTTTGGTCCGTCCGATATTAAGTTCAAGCTCCCAAGGTCACCATAATAAACCACCGCCCAAAACAGTAGATGACGTCATTTACTGGGCGTAGTCTCCCGATGAGAACGGTTCTGAACTAACAGAAAGGTTGCCGCAGTAAAGTTGCGTTAGCCACGTGTATAGACTTACATCATACTTGCTACTTACTTACCTCCTACTTACGTAATGCTTACTTTTCAAAAGTAAACATTAATAATGCATGCATAATATCAAACTTTACCTCCAAAAAGTCTGTCAATTATAACATTCGCTTCGCTCAATATCAAAAAGTTCTCGTACGAATCGCCACTTGCTGACTTACGAATGACGAATAGTTGTAAAGGCGCGGTGACGGTCAAATAAAGCAAAGGGCTCAAGTTTCACGGAATAAATTTCAGATGCAGTCTCTGTTGAAGCCAATACTACTAGTTAAGCATTTTCACCACTAAACTGCAAACTTGCTCACAGCACCTCGAGGCAGAGCAGTAGTCGATCGAGATGGTACTAAGAAATATGCGAGTTATAAATGGACAGAGCTCCAAAATTATTTGGCTTACATTATTTGTAATAGTTTAGTTGTCGTTTTTTTCATAGAAATTACATTTTTTTCTTGGATGATTTAAGGTCCGGTACTGAAAATGTTCTACTGAAATACAAAAATGTTCTATAATATGTCTCTCACTCACCCTCTCTCGTTCAACGATGATGATGGTGGTAGTAGTAGTAGTAGTAGTAGTAGTAGTATTAGTAGTAGTAGTATTAGTAG